AAGTTGTCATCAGAATGACTGGCAAATTACGGGAACAACTGGAGGGTGTTTCAATTAGAAGATCTGGATTAAATTCACTTGTCATTCATGACTTTTAAACACTGGCTGAAGAGGAACAATTTCTTTCAACTTTCATTTTGAGAGCTCAAAGAGCTTGAACAGTGTTTACATGTCACTAAGAGCAGAAAAGGGGATAACCTGGGGAGACCAGGGACCAGTAAACATGTAGGATACTGTAAGGACCAGAGAAAAAGCCCTGAAGTGTAGCCTATGTTTTCCTGACTGGGAACACTCCATCCATTGCAGTTCTATACTTCTGAGATTGAAACAATGCAGAGAAGACAGAAGGAAATTTCAGGTGATCATACACAATAGGAACTCTTTTCCAAAGTAGGCAGGTAACCCAAGAAAGTTGAATAAGGATGAAGATAGAGACTGGAAAAGACACAAAGAATTAGGACGAAACCTGCAATTAGTAAGAAGAGGTTTATCAAATGCCTTCAAGAATTATGAGTGAACAAGCAGCAACTACATTACTACGTAGTAACAGAGGATAACACAAGAGATGCAACATTAGCCCTAAATACGCAAGCTCTGGATCCGTATGTACCACAGAGGCTGAGTTTGATTTGGCCTGGACTAACAAGATGCAGTGTCCAAAAACGAGAGAATCATGATGGCAGATGGTTCACTGTCCTCCTCCTCTTATTCCCTGTGCTTTTGATTTGCACAGCACTATCTGGACCTGAAGTCACTAGTTACGGTCAGTCAGATACTATGTATGCCCCTATGCAAGAGGAAGCGGGAAGACAGGTTTACTACACAGTATTTCAAATAATAAACATATTTCTAAGATTCTTATTTCTAAGAATTAGAAGTCAAAAAGCTTTTTTGATGTGATGCTTGTAGATGTACATATGCTTTGATCACTACTAAGAATGGCTTGTGTCGCAAAGGCAGGTAGAACTTTCATCGCTTTTGAAATACACAATATATTGAAAAGCACAAACATACCACAGGGAAAAAAAAGATACACGGCTGAACACAAGGACAGCTCTCTGCAAAAGCTATTTCATACGCAGTGTCACACAGCAATCAAGGATTCTGCCAACTCTTGAAGTGACAATAAGCTACCACAGAGACAACACAATCTGCTCATAGATTCAATTCCCTTCCTCCTAAAGCCCAGTGCTGCTTTAGAAAACAAAGCTGCTGTGTAGTGAACTTAATCAAATGCTACTGGGCAGAAGATATTTGTTGTTCTTTTCCTCCTATTCCTACCAAGAAGGGAGCCTCCAGTGACCTAAGGCTGGCAAGTACCGTTGGATCCTTAGGTTGTCACAGTGGGCAGATGCAGCCAAAAAGAAAACGATCATCAGAATTCTACTGTTGCTACTGAAAATGACAGTATTTCCCTTTTCTAAACAGAAGAGAGAGAATTAGTCACAGCCTGTTCCTCCCATTTCTCTTTCAAGAAAAATAATTTTTAGTCTCTGATTCTATAGCTGTGGGGAGAGAGTTGAGCAAGGGGGATGTTTACTATTATTTTGGCGCATCGCATTAAATGTCAGGCAGAAAACCACAGGAAATAGTATCTATTGCAATGTGAGGCTTAAGCATATTTGACAGTATATTCAACAGCTTTGCTTGTCTCATAGCCCTGGGCAAAACCATGCCCCTTTCCCTGCTGTTCCTTCATTTCATGCTATAATGCTTCCAATTCTCCTTTTGAAAAGAATTATGTACCTTATCTACCTGTTGCACAGAATATCCTAATGGCCACTCATAACCTTTGCAGATGTTGCTCCATTATTCTCAGTAAAAGCTTGAGTTGTTTGGTTCAGGGAGGAAAGAGCATCTGGGAAAAGTGACTTGATGCTGAATTAAAACAAGAAGGCAAGTTATTCTTGCGGAATGCTATCTAAAAGGATGGTGGGGAGCTGGGATAAAACCAGAGGGAAACAATATGCAGAATGAAGTTGTCTAGATTTGATTTCTTTTTTTACTGTGCTGCATAGTTTTGTCTTCATGGTTTCATTCAATTGATCACATACAGTTCTATGTGCTCAGAATGTGTCCTCTTCACATTATCTTCTTGATGCTCCTCTACCGTTTCCAATTGATGAAGCTTCAAGC